ATTCTATTCTATTCTATTCTATTCTATTCTATTCTATTCTATTCTATTCTATTCTATTCTATTCTATTCCATTCCATTCCATTCTATTCCTATCCTATCCTATTCCATCCCATCCTATTGTCAAACATCAGACTCTTGGCTTTTTATATTTTGAGGTACCAAACTGCCAGCCCTACTACGTAATCCAGTTCAAGAAATCAACTTCATAAAAAGACTAAGATTATTTTTTATGGAGATGGGTTAATAATAGGAAAGGTAAACATAAAGGTTCCCGTCGCACATGTGTGCTAGTCGTTTCCGGCTCTAGTGGACAGTGCTCATCTCTGTTACAAAGCCAAAGAGCCAGCACTTTTCCATGGTCATCTAGCCGGCATGACTAAACGCCGAAGGTGCATGGAACGCTGTTACCTTCCCACCAAAGTGGTCCCTATTTTTCTACTTGCATTTTTACATGCTTTCGAACTGCTAGGTTGGCAGAAGCTGGGACAAGTAACGGGAGCTCAGTCCGTAACGGGCGCTAGGGATTCGAACTGCCGACCTTTCCGATCGACAAGCTCAGCCTCTTAGCCACTTGCAAATCTGGTTCATTTTTTCCTCTCCATCTTATACACCTGTGAATCAGGAAGGTGTCTGCCTGAGTCGCTTCTGAATGTTTATCTCGTTGCTCTGGACTTTGAAAATGTTTTGGCCCCTTTTACCTAGGCCAGTGCTTCTCAACCTTTTCTTCACCTGTTTTAAATCCCTTTCGTGACCCACAGATTATGGCCATGTCTTAACTCAAAATTTAAATCACAACATTTCTACAAGCCTTCGCGGAGCCCGTGACATTATCCCGCCCCCTCTAGAAGTCCATGGACCACAGATTGAGAACCACGGACATGGGTAATTGTATTTACAAACTTCCATTAAGATCATCTTCCTTACACTCTACAGTGCTTCAATAGTGAGAGGTTTTTCCACAGATCGAAGGGGGCATGATTTTGGAGGCTGGCTACACCCTGCGGACAGGGCTTCGCTTGTTTGTGGCATCCCGGTTTTTGGTCTATCGCAACGCGGTGCTGATGCAAGGACCTGGGGCTGGGAATCCCTGATCTATATGACAAGTGGACTGCAACTCCCACAATTCCCAAACCAGCAAGGGTGAGGGGAAAATGAAAATTACAATCCCAGCTCCTGATAACAAAGATAATTAGGGGACTGGAGGCTGAAACATATAAAAAAACAGTTGCAGGAACTGGGTGTGTCTAGTTTAATGAAAAGAAGGACTAGGAGGGACATGATAGCCATGTTCCAATATCTCGGGCTGCCACAAAGGAGATGGAGTCAAGCTATTCTCCAAAGCACCTGAGGGCAGGACAGGAAGCAATGGGTGGAAACTAACCAAGGAGAAAAGCAACTTAGAACTAAGGTGAAATTTCCTGATAGTTAGAACAATTAATCAGTGGAACAATTTACCTCAAGAAGTTGTGAATGCTCCAACACTGGAAGTTTTTAAAGAGATTGGATAACCATTTGTCTGAAATGGTGTAGGTTTCCTGCCTAAGCAGGGGGTTAGACTAGAAGACCTCCAAGGTCCCTTCCAACTCTGTTATTCTATGTCTGAGATACCTCTACCTCCAAAGCTGTTAAATGCAGTCCTCAGACACACACACAAAAACCCTCTTACTTTTGTAGAAAGTTAGCACCCACCCCTCTCCTAGAAGAATGAAATATTTTGAGAAATATTAAAAAGGCAGAATATTACACCTCCCTGGATGAGAAATGGAGAAACAGGCTCTTGGGAAACAACCTCCATCTTTCCTAATAGCCCTCAGCAGATGTCAGCTCTTAAGAGATAAAGAGATAGCTAGCTCTATTCATAAGCAAATACCCTCACCCAAGATCCAACAAAGGTAAGATTAGCCCTCAGCCCCAATAGGAATTGCCCAAAGCCCCTTCATTGCATCACCTCAGTTGTACCACCCCCAGCAGTTTAAACTTCAACCAAACTTAGCTCAGACAAACTTCTAGGGTTTGTACATAGCCCCATGGGAGTCTGACAACAGCCAATAGAATACATGTTCTTGCACAGGAACAGGACGCTGAAGTGCAAAGCCCAAGAGAAGGTATAAATACCCCCACACACATACACTCTCTCTCTCAACTCCATGTGGTCAGCTGCACCAGAACCACAAACGTGGGGTCCTGTTCATCAATAAATGGACCCTCTTTCCGATCAGACTCCAGCCTCCATTTTGTCTCCAGTGCCTTTCTCCTGGCTTGGATCTGAGCCTGATGGATAGTTCTTCCAACACTTGGTTGCGCATGAACACATTCTTTTGAGAAAAACAATTGTGCAAGAGCAATTGCTGGAACTAGTGTCAACGTTGCATCTTGTGGAAATGTTAATCGCTCTCCCTTCTAAACTAAATTGGTTTTTTCGTCCACATTTCGTACCAGGTGCTGGAAGTTTCTGTTGTGCAATTGAAGAGAGTTCCCCAAAGTTCTTCTTTTTAAAATAAAAATAAGTAAAACTGAGCTTATGTTATAATTAGGAAGTAAGAAAATAACGGCGGCTCGTTTTGTCAGGCAGTTGGCTTTCAGCTTTTGTCAGATACCAAATGCAAAAATGCGGCTGCCATCTTGACTTTTTTTATTCCTTGAGTGTTTCTAATATTTTCTACTACCTGTAGGTTTGGATTAAAAATTGAACTTTGGGGGAGGTCTTGTTCTTTGCCACAGAGGGGCAGTGCTGAGCAGACATCCAATTTTCTCAGCTAAACCATTGAAAACCACAATAGATTTTCTACTGTGGGAAGCGTGCTTGTTGTGTACTTGTACAACCTAAGTACGCAACTTTTCTCCAGATCTGACACCGAGGGCCCAATTGGTGAGGAATGCCAAATATATCTGCCTTTTGAAACCCAGCACTATTTTATGATCCCAGTTGTTTCATTTCATGATTTTTAAATTTAGCGTCAAACTTCTGTACTCATAAATAGCATAAACTGCTGAATTAAAAGGACAAGATGTCCTATTTTTTTTTCTCTGCTACAGAGGGGGGAAAAAAAAAGAAATAAAATAAATGAAAAACAGCCTGAATGGGATCTTCACTCTGTAATCTTGATTTCTGGATCCCCACGATTTTCTGAATTAGGGAAACAAACTGGATTTTAAACAAGACGGACAAAATTCGAACTTTTCTTTGTAGACTAAATGAACCTTTGTAAGTCAAGGACTACCTATATTAGGAAACGAGAGAGGATAAATATCCAGGTCTCTTCTTACCTTTCTGGTTTTTTTCCAGTAATCCCGAAGGAGTGGGAGGCAGCGATTTCCAGGGACGGACAAAGGCATGCTTCGGAGTTCGTTGCTTCGAGCGTAGAACTGGACTCTGGCTTGGCAGAGCGCTGAATTCAACTTGAGAAGTGAGGCTCTGGATTGTGGAAAGAAAGCGAAAGAAGCTCACACACCTTCAAGTTCCCAAGGGTGGGCTAGACTCAATTCAAGTGGAATGGGGTGCTTATCTGAATTGAGTCTAGCACAGTGGTCGCCAACCGGTGGGCCAGGAACCACTGGTGGTCCACGAGAAAACTTTGGTGGTCCACAGATAAATGTCCCCCCAAAGCAATTAATCCAGGCTATGCGGGAACACAAGGCTGCACCGTCCACATGGCCTGCCTACCCGTTGGCCCCCACCCTTTGGCTGAGCACAAACCTTACCTTGAGTAGAGCCACGCGAGCTGGAACCGGAAGTTAAGACCAACAGCGGGGGAGGGAAATCCGCCCCGGGGTGGATTGCTGACGTTGGTGGAAAAAGTCAGTCCCATATTCCAGAGCTGGAGTAGTCACAGGACTGGCCCTTTGGTCATCCCAGAGCAGCTCCTCCAGTCCATGGCAGGCGGGTGGAGGAGCAGCTGCTCCGGGATGACCAAAGCGCCAGTCTTGTGGCTACTGCAGCTCTGGAATATTGGACCGACTTTCGCACCAACGTCAACAAGCCACCATCAGTCAAAATTCATATTAGTGGTCCGCGGGATTTAAAATTATGACTTTGGTGGTCCCTGAGGTCCAAAAGGTTGGCGATCCCAGTGTCTCTCATCCTTGGAAACTTGAAGATATGTGGACTTCATCTCTCAGAAGCTGGCTGGGGAATTCTGGGAGGTGAAATCCACACAACTTCAACTTTCCAAAGTTGAGGAACACTGCTTTAACAGGTTGCATTTTAATTAGAATATTGTTGTAATTTTTAATTGTTTTAAAATCTTACTGAAGGATTATAGGGAGTCCTTGACTTGCAACCATTGCTTTTAGAGCTGGGGTCTTCAAACGTGACCGCTTTAAGACTTGTGGACTTCAACTCCCAGAATTCCTCCTCCAGTCGTGATAGCTCAGGAATGCTGGGAGTTGAAGTCCACAAGTCTGAAACTTGCCAAGTTTGAAGTCCCTTGATTTAGAGTGACCGTTTTTACGTTACAACGACACTGAAAATAGTGACTTATGGTCATTTATTTCATACTTATACAACCACTGCGGCATCCCCATGGCCATATTATCAAAATCCAGACACCGGGTAACTTGTGTGTATTTATGACACTCAGTATCCCAAGGTCATTTGATCACCCTTTTATGACTTTCTGACCAGAAAAGTCAACAAGGAAGCCAAGTTCACTTAATAACCGGGCCACTGATTTAACAACTGCAGTGATTCACTTATCAACTGTGGCAAGAAAGGTTGTTAAAAATGGGGCAAAAGTCACTTAAACTCTTGCTTAGGAGTGGAAATTTTGAGCTCAGTTGTGTTTGTACAGCCAATACCTGTAAAATATTGTACATTCTAATTCAGGGGTCTTCAAACTTGACAGCTTTAAGTCTTGTGGACTTCAACTCCTAGAATTCTTCCCCCGTCATATTAGCTCAGGAATTCTAGGAGTTGAAGTCCACCAGTCTTAAACTTGCCAAGTTTGAAGAAGCTTGTTCTAATGGTTTTAGAATGTTACCGAAAGGCGTCACCTGTGTTCTGGCATGTCTTATTGCTTGGGAAACCCTAGTTTGGAAAGGCAGGCTGCACATTTCAAAAATCTAAAAATAAAAAAGGCATATAGGCCCTCGCCAAAGGATGGGTTGGTGGCAGAGGTGGTATATTCAGCAGGTTCTGACCAGTTCTTGGAGAACCAGTAGCGGAAATTTTGAGTAGTTTGGAGAACCGGCAAATGCCACCTCTGACTGGAGATTTTACAGTATCCTTCCCCTACCGCGCCCATCAAGCCACGCCCATAGAACCGGTAGTAAAAAAAAAATTGAATCCCACCACTGATTGGTGGTGTGCTATATTAGCATACTCCAAATCCTGACACCTGATTGGTCCACACAGACCTCAACCGGATTGGCTGACTGAACGGCCGTGATTGGTGCGCTAAGAATCTACCGCGATTGGCCGAGCCGATCGCGGGAGATTCAAAGCGCTGTCATTGGCCGCCGAGCCACGAGCAATCCCTATATGAAGGGTTGCCACGGCTCCAAGGTTTTTGTACTGAACTGTAACTAAATAAAGAGCTGAACGTTAGGAATGGTCTCGCGTCTCTTTGGGAACCGATACGCCCTGATCTAACAGGTGGTGCTGAGAAGATCCCAACTTTCCTTTTCTAAACATCTCAGAGGAAGAATGTGATTAAAAACTTAACGATTGTTACTGGATGCTCATCAAAGCATAAGACCACCATCCAATCAATGGCCCTTGGAGCAAGCCAGATTTCTGTCTAGCTCTGTAATAGGAAGAAGACAGGCAAAAATAGCTATGGAAGAAGACAACTGTGGGAGCCACCTTCAAATTTCTCCCGTAGTTTAGTCCTCTCTACAGGGAAATGCAAAAAAAAATAAAAATTAAGCTCTCCTGTAGCTGGCACCTTGCAATGGTGTTTCATTGCAATTCCCATCACCTCAACCAACAAACTCAGAATCTCGGAGAAGACATGGCTAGATGACTAACAAGAGATATTCCTCAGGAACCTACAAGCCCTCAAGGAACCAAACTAACTTTTCCAAAAAAAATTCTATCATCCTCACTTGCTGGAACTTCTGGGACTTCTCATAAAATCCCACCTGGAAGGTACCCAGTTTCCTTCCTCCTCTTGAAACAGATAACGGAGAAACTATCTGAGAATCACATCAGCAACAGTTCTCTCTGCTGTATCCTTATTAAAGGCACGAGGTATTTTTCGAGGCAATAAAAGCAGTGTAGAAAGTTAGCCCCCATTTTTCTCCTAGAAGAATGAAATCTTCTGGGAAAGATTAAAAAGGCAGAATATTTATACCTCCCTGGAGAAACGTGCTCTTGAAAGCAGCCTTCACCTTTCTTAATAGCCTCAGAAAGACCGGCCCATCCTATCCACAAGACAAAAGGCTGCGTCAGCTTATCTACAAAACAAAACACCCTCAGGACATAATAGGATTAGCCCTCTACCCATCTCACCACATGGCCCCTGGGAAGTCTGCATCTCCCAGTAAGGTTCAACCAAGCTTGGGACTCAAGACAACGTACAAATTTACCCCTGCATGGCCCCACGGGGGTCTGACAACCAATCAGAATACCTGCCCTTTCGACAAGAGCAGGAAGCAAGTTCAAAGCCCAAGAGAGGATATAAATCAGAGGTGGGTATTCAACAGGTTCTGACCAGTTCTGGAGAATTCCCGGGTAGCGGACATTTTGAGTAGTTCGGAGAACCGGCAAATCCCACCTCTGACTGGCCCCACCCCCATCTATTCTCTGCCTCCCAATTCCCAGCTGATAAGCTGGGTCTTCTTTGGTTGCCCTGCACAGGAGAAGGGAGCTGGAAAGCAGGTTAGTGGGGTGGGGAGGGAATGGGGATTTTGCACTTTCCTTCCCCTGCCACGCCCACCAAGCCACGCCCACGGAACCAGTAATAAAACAAATTGAATCCCACCACTGCTATAAACCTCTCTCTTTCTCTCTCTCTCTCTCCCTCTCCCCTGTCCCATGTGTTTGATTGCCCAGGACGTCAAACCACCTGGTCCTGTCCACCATTAAACCATCTTTCTAAACAGCTTCCATGTTTCCAGTGTCTTTCTGCCCACTTGGAACTGAACCCAGATGGACGTTTCTTCCGACAGCAGATTAAAAACTCTAACCTTAATCATTGCAGTAGGTGAGGCATCATTCCGAACCCCTGTGAGTGGAAAAATGTGATTAAACCGCCATACCAAACTGCTTAAGCCTGGAACACTTCCAATTCCTCAGAATCTTGCCTGGTTTTGTGCTTGAAACGGTTTGAAATGAACTCCTTTGCAGACTCCTAATTTCTAGGGCTGCGTGCGCTTCAAAATCCGTTTGGGAAAAGTGGTTAGAACACAGGTGTCAAACACGCCATGTTGATGTCACGTTACGTATCCCGACGTTTTTGCCTTTGCAGAACTAAGGTGGGCGTGGCCTGCCTGTGATGCATCTGGCCTGTGGGCCGCTAGTTTGACACCCCGGGTTTAGAACATTGTAGGAATGCAACACCTCTTTTCGACATCAGACTGAAAAAAAGACACAGATGCTTTAATGAGTTGCTGAGTCCCTTTAAAGCAGCTGCATCTTTTCCCAGGCTCCCCCAGGAGCATGCCGGCTGGGGAATTCTGGGAATTGAAGTCCACACATCTTAACATTGCCGAGATCAGCAAACACCTCTCCAGATGTTCTAGGGCTGCTGGCACCAGATGACTAGAAGAATTATAGGAATTTACATTCAGCCACATCTGGAAGGCAGGACACTGAAGAAGGCTGCTCTATGGTGTTTTTTTTTTTTTCTTAAGGGGCCAATTCATTCTCCTCTTTCTGCTTTTCCAACGGCATTCCATTTCTCCGCTTAGCTCATTCCCAACTACTGTTCAAAAAAAGGTTGTCTCTTTGTGTGTTTTTAATTGGCACTTTTGCATTCTTGGAGTCGGTCCTATGCTACAGCTTCCCTTAAGGGATAGGGACCGATAATGTTTGCATAATGTTTGCGATAATGTATGCATAGGAGTGCAGAGAAGAGCAACCAAGATGATTAGGGGACTGGAGGCTAAAACATATGAAAAACGGTTGCTGGAACTGGGTGTGTCTAGTTCGAATGAAAAGAAAGACTAGGGGAGACATGATAGCAGTCTTCCAATATCTCAGGGGCTGCCACAAAGAAGAGGGAGCCAAGCTATTCTCCAAAGCACTTGAGGGCAGGACAAGAAGCAATGGGTGGAAACTAATCAAGGAGAGAAGCAACCTAGAACTAAGGAGAAATTTCCTGATAGTGAGGACAATTAATCAGTGGAATAACTTGCCTCTAGAAGTTGTGAATTTTCCAACACCGGAAGTTTTTAAAAATAAGTTGGATAACCATTTGTCTGAAATGGTGTAGGGTTTCCTGCCTTGGCAGGGGGTTGGACTAGAAGACCTCCAAGGTCCTTTCCAACTCTTGTTATTCTATTCTATTTATTATTATAAGGTGCCTTTGCTTGACAGATGAGCCCCTTACCCGTTTTCCTGCCGTTCCTGCTGTTTCCGCCGTTCCTGCTTCCGAAACATCACTCTTCGGTGTCTGTTCTTTTCCCATTGCATTCATTTCATGATCCATTTTTTTTTAGCTTGCTCCAAACGGATTTTCTGAAGATTCTGCTCTGTGGAAGGATTTTCTACTCCGCTAGAAGAAAAAGAAAACAGCTTCAGTCCTGTTGGAAGTTAGCACCCACCCCTCTCCTAGAAAATTGAAATATCCTAGGAAATATTTTAAAAAAGCAGAATATTCCCACTAAAAAGAATAGAAACTCAGAAGCAGAAACTCACCTCAGAAGCAGAAACTCAGCCCCCACCCCACCTTTGCCAATGGGCTACTACTCTGGCCTAGGCCACCCTATTTTACATAACAAAGATCTCCAGGTAGAGCTATAATAGGAATTTCCCAAAGCCCTCTCATTACATCATCATCCAGCAAGGCTCAACCAAGCCTGGGACTCAGGACAGTCTACAGAGTTGCCCCTGCATGGCCCTATGGGAGTCTGACAACCAATCAGAATACAAGCTCAAATTCAAATCCCAACAGAAGGTATAAACCCCAGGGCACTCTTAGCATATCAGCCCTTCCTTCTTTGGAGCTCCAAGCCATGAGGTCCTGTCCACCATTAAACCATCTTTCCAAAACAGCCTCCCTGTTTCTAGAGTCTTTTTCCCCACTTGGAACTGAACCCAGAAGGATATTTCTTCCAACAATCCTATTTGAGAATTTCAGGCATAGGAGTTCTGAGTGAAAAGAGGGTTTTGAAAATCGACTCATTTGAGCTGTGGTGCCGGAGAAGGTTCCTGTGTATTCCTTGGACAGCAAAGGTGTCTAAGAAGCCAGTCCTTGAACAGGGAAGGGGGATATTTGTAGCTCAGGGAGGCTTTTAGTGCAGCTTGGCTCCAAGTAAATGGACGGCTATCATTTGTTAGGAAGCTAGGTTTCATCTGGGTGCCTGGTTGGGGTGTGTTTGAGCTGGAGGTATCAGGGGGGATCTGTTTGTGCCCAGGTGTTTGCCTGGCTAGTGGTGTGGAGATTTTTTTGTTTGTGAGTGCAGGCTTCCAAATAATTGACAGTCTGGTGGAATCACCTCTTCTATTCATACTTTCAGGTCTTTTTTCAATCTCTATGGCTTCTCTGATAATTCTGTGGCTGGGGTTTTCTATAGTGGCTAGGGTTTTGGTGCCGTTGAAGTTGATGCTATGACCTGTGACTTTCATGTGTTGGATTAGTGAGGAAGTGTGTTCCAGCTTTTTGACTGCTAGCTTCCTAACAAATGATAGCTGTCCATTTACTCAGAGCCAAGCTGCACTAAAAGCCTCCAATACAGGAACACAATGTTGCCAGCCAACCAAGACAAAAAAAGCTACAAAACAGACAGAAGATATTAGAAACACCAATCAAGCAGAACACAGCAAACTCCAAGATCAATAAACACAGACCAAAACTCCCATCCAATCAGGATGAAGAAGAAACCATTCTGGCACAGCAGTAGGCTAGCCCCAAATTTAAAACTGAAACAACTGTAAAAGTCTGACTCATAGACGAACACAATACAGAAGCCTGATGATGGCAGATGAGATTCTGCCGAAACGTTGCTACAACTTTAAAAGCACAACTATAATGACGTGGGAAATTACCCGAACAAAGCTGAATACCATACATGTAAGTACCTGCGAAAACTTAAGAAAACATATATAAATATATATATGGAGAGAGAGCTCGAGAGAGCTCAGAGGTGGTATTCAGCAGGTTCTGACCAGTTCTGGAGAACCGGTAGTGGAAATTTTCAGTAGTTTGGAGAACTGGCAAATACCACCTCTGACTGGAGATTTTACAGTAATCTTCCCTGCCACGCTCACAAAGCCACATCCACAGAACCGATAGTAAAATTTGAATCCTACCACTGATTAGAGAGAGAGAGAGAGAGAGAGAGAGAAAGAGAGAGGCAGAGAGGGAGAGAGGGAGGAAGGGATGGAACATAAAGGCAGGCTATAAAAACACAAATAAAAAATTAAGATAGAGTGTGAATAAATCAGAACTGGTTTTAATTCAGGCATATATTATCATCATCACTTAGGCATTTAAACATAAACATAAATTGTATTCTTTGTTTGGGGGGTGAGGGGAAAGAAATATACACAAAGAGATTGGCTCCTTGACTTGTAAATTTACCAGTGGAACAATCAGGAAGACAATTAATGGAAGGGAGAGGCAAGTCTACAAAGAAATGGAATTTGGGTTGCCAATTTACCAAGGGAAAAAGTCATTTCCTGCTCCTGGGACTTTAATAGTGATTCACTTGGGAGAAAGGCAGGAGCGGCCAAGATTTTTTTTTTTTTAAGGATGTGTTAAAAAACAAAAAGTACTGTCTGTTAAAGCTGCCTATCTTAAGTTGCTACAGGTAGTCCTCCACTTATCACCATTTGTTTCGCGACCAAAGCTACAACGGCTCTGAAAGAAAGTGACCTATGACTGTTTCTCCACACCTGTACTCTGTAAAGCATTCCAGACTGTGGCTTCAAAGTAAGGGCCCACTCAGAATACTCCATCCAGTTTTAGCCACTCTATTATTCAAAAGATTTCAAAAGATTTCAAGAACAGGGGTGTCAAACTCGTGGCCCGCGGGCCAGATGCATCATGTGTTGCCTCCACCCCTGCCCGGTTTAGCAAAGGGGGGAAAGTCCCAGATATGACACCGTGACGATGCGAGTTGGACACCCCTGCTCTTAGAAAGAGTGCAAAAAGAGCAGCAGAGATTATTCTCCTTCAATGTACTACATCTTGATGTCAAATATATCCCCAGATACTTAACCTTGTTTGTAACTTGAATTTTTAACAGTTCTGCCAACTCTTCCCTTTGTTTCAGCAACATATTCTTTGACAAAATCTTTGTTTTATCTCTATTTATTTTCAAACCAGCCACCTCCCCATAGACCTCTATCTTTTCCAACAGTTTCGAGGCTGTTTCTATAGGGTCTTCCAAGATAAAGACTAGGTCATCTGCAAAGGCTTGTAGTTTAAATTCTTCCTTTTTAATTTTCATTCCTTTTATAGTTTTATCTTCTCTGATATTTCTATTCAACACTTCCAAAGTCAATACAAATATCAAGGGAGAAAGAGGACAACCTTGTCTTGTGCCTTTTCTTATATTAATAGGATCTGTAAATTCTCCCTCCATCATTACCTTAGCTGTTTGTTCATTATAAATTGCTTCTATTGCCTGAATAAATCTTCTAGCAAAGCCCATCTGTTCCATTAACAGTAACATAAATCTCCAATTCACGTTATCAAATGCCTTTTGAGCATCTAAAAATATCAAAGCCATTTGCTTTTCAGGATGTGCCTCATAGTATTCCAGGGTGTCCAGAATTACTCTCATATTGTCTCTGATTTGTCGCTTTGGCAAAAACCCATTTTGGTCTGAGTGGATAAAGTTATTCAAGTACTTTTTAAGTCTTTCTGCTAATATTGAAGCAAAAATTTTATAATCTGCATTTAGTAAAGAAATCGGTCTATAATTCTTGATTTGCAGTAGGTCCGCCTCCTCTTTTGGAATAAGTGTAATGTAAGCCTCTGACCATGTTTTAGGTATCATCTTTTTTAACATAACTTCATTCATAACTTCTAACAGTGGAATACACAGTGATTCTTGAAAGATTTTATAAAATTCTACAGGAAACCCGTCTGGACCTGGTGCCTTTCCATTATTTTGTTTCTTAAGTGCTTGACTTAACTCCATCATTGTTATATTACTTTCTAGCATTTCTTCAATCTCTTTAGGTATCTTAGGTAGATTTGCATTCTGTAGGTATTGTTTAACTTTCTCCTCGTCAATGTCTTCTTTCTTATACAAATGCTTATAAAAATCATAAATAATCTCTTTTTTTTCTTTGCTGCCATAACAAATTTTACCTTGGTCGTCTATTAACTGCGGTATTTTCCTCGACTCTTTCTCCTTTCTCAATATTAAACTTAAACAACAGATAGCTCAAGACTTGAAAAAATGGGAGAACTTACAATTGTCATTAATAGGAAGGATTTCAACAATTAAGATGAACATTTTACCCAGAGTCTTATTTTTGTTTCAAACAATACCAATTAGGCTTGGAAAAGAATATTTTGAGGATTTAAATAAAATTGTTTTGAAGTATATATGGCAAGGTAAGAAAGCAAGAATAAAGTTAAAGCTTTTACAGGATGCTAGATTTAGAGGAGGGTTTGGACTGCCTAATTGGGAGTTGTACTACCAAGCTGCAAACTTGACGTGGGTTAAAGAATGGATAACATTAAGGAAAACCAGATTGTTGACATTAGAAGGTCATGATTTGTTGTTGGGCTGGCATGCTTTTTTATGGTACAAGGGAACTAAAACACAGGGGTATTTTAGAAGGCATTATATACGGGAGTCTCTGTGGTTGAATTGGGAGAAGATAAAAAAACAGTGTTATTTGAAAATTCCAGTTTGGTTATCGACGATAGAAGCGTTTTCTTATCCTATAATCTATAAAAAGGAACAAACAGTTAACTATGGGGAATTATTAGATGAAAAGGGTGAACTTAAATCGATGCAAAAATTGGAAGAACAAGGTATACGGATGAATTGGTTTTCATATTTGCAAATATATTCAAAGTACCATGAGGATTCCAAAGCAGAGGGATTTTATGATAAGCAAACTGACTTGGATAAGATTTTGATGGGTACTGATGAAAAGGTGATTAAAAAATTGTATGGTTATTTATTGCAAATTAAGCTTGAGGAAGAACAAGTTAAAGAAACTATGATTGCGTGGGGGAGGAATTTTGGATATGGGATTGATTTAGAGAAATGGCAGAAATTATGGTCGCAAAATTATAAAATGACAATGTCTACAGCCTATAAAGAAAACTTGTATAAGATGTTTTACAGGTGGCATTTTCCCCCGACAAGGATAGCAAGAATGTTTAAGAACAAATCCGAAAAATGCTGGAAATGTCATCAGAAACCTGGTTCATACTATCACATGTGGTGGACTTGTGAGGATGCTAGAAAATATTGGACTAAAATCCACATGTGGCTGGAAAAAATGACAAAGAAGCATATAGACTTGAAACCGGAGTTTTTTTCTATTGGGAATACTACCAGATACTTATAGTAAAGAGTTGAAATATTTGATTGTAAATGTATTGACTGCTGCTAGGATTGTATTTGCAAAAAATTGGAAAAATGAGAAAATTCCATTGCAAGAAGAAGTTGTAAAGAAAATTTTGGAATGTGCTGAGATGAGTAGATTGACTTTTGAAATTAGAGAGCAAGAAGATAAACAATTTTATTTAGTTTGGGATCTTTTCTATCAATGGTTGAATGATGAAATATTAAAATATAAAAGTTAGATAATAAGGAATAATAATGACTTTATTTTCCCTTTCCTTTTATTGGTTTTTGATACTATATTTATATAATAGCTTTCTTTGTTTCTTTCTTTTTCATATTTGGGATAGAATTGGTATGATTATAAGATTTGTTTTAGAATAAAATATTTAAAATATAGTTATCTCATAAAGGCATGACCGAATAAAAGTTTAGTCAAATTTTTTCTTTTTTTTCTTTAATAGAGATACTAGGATTTATAAATTTGTATTGATAAGAGTATTATATAAAGTAACTGTAATTGTGACTATGAGGTGAATGCACAAAACCGATGGACCAACCGACTTACGGTGTGTACAAAAATATGGGGGAGCTGATACTTTTATGCTTTGTTGTTGTGTTTTTTATGTTAAAAAAATAATAAAAATTTATATATAAAAAAAAAAAAAGAGCAGCAGAGATGATTAGGGGGCTGGAGGCTAAAACATAAAGAACAATTGCAGGAATTTGATATGTCTAGTCTAGTGAAGAGAAGGACCAGGGGAGACATGATAGCAGCATTCCAATATTTGAGGGGTTGCTACAGAGAGGAAGGGGTCAAGCTATTTTCTAAAGCACCTGAAGCATAGCACCGGAAAAGGAATAATGGACGGAAACTGAACAAGGAGAGATTCAATCAATGCAAGAAAGTCCACAGGTGGGTAGAAGGTGGCTGACCATCCATCAGATCCGTAAAAGGATGGATGGGAAGTGAACAAGGAGAGATTCAACCTGGAAATAAGGAGGAATTTTCTGACAGGGAGAGCAATCAAACCAATGAAACAGATGTTGCCTTCAGAAGTTGTGGGAGCTTCATCGCTGGAAGCTTTCAAGAAGAGACTGGGCTGCCATCTGTCATAAATGGTGTAGTCAGGGTCTCCTGTTTGGGCGGGCGGGGGGGTTGGACTAGATGACCTACAAGGTCCCTTCCAACTCTGTTATTTGACAGCATAACAGTCTTCCAATATCCCAGGAGCTGCCACAAAGAAGAGGGAGTCAACCAGGGGTGGGATTCCACAGGTTCTCACCTATTCGCTAGAACCGGTTGTTAACTTTCTAAGCAGTTTGGAGAACCGGTTGTTGAAATTTCCTTTTGTTTTTTTCCATCTTTCTTACATTCTTGGCAGTATGCCTAGACTTACTGTCTCCAAAGGAGTTTTTTTTTCCTTTTGCTGGTACTTTCTTAAAGGGGAAGGATTGTTTTAAGCTTTTTACACTGCTGTTGGGAGGAAATACTCCCCTGTTTGAAGAAATAATTGAATAAGGAATCAGAGCTGCCAGAAAGAAACTTTTAATGACAAGGAACTAAGATGTGTGACATTCAGCAAGGCTTCTTGGCTAGCTAGTTTAAACAGGAGTTTACATACCCTTTTTGAGTTTTGGCCTAAAACTGGTGACCATTCAAAGTTACAATAGCACTGAAAAAAGTGACTTATGACCATTTTTCACACTTACAACCGTTGCAGCATCCCCACTGTCATGAGAGGCCAGGTGAGAAGAAGCGCCCCTTGATGTGAGCGATGTTGAGTTGGCCACGCCCACTCAGTCACATGACCAGCAAGCCACACCCACCAACTAAGCCATGCCTACAGAACCAGTTGTTAAAAAAATTGAATCTCACCCCTGGAGTCGAATTGCTTTTAGAAGTTATGGAGGTTTTTAAGAAGAGATTGGACAGCTATTTGTCAGGAATTGTAATAGGGTCCCCTGCTTGAGCACTGGGGTTGGACTAGAAGACCTCCAAGGTCCCTTCCCACTCTGTTATTCTGTTTGTCTAGCTGCCGCTTGGACTCCTACTACAGTTTTTCAGCCTGGTTCCTGTTGTGCCTCCTCTCTCTAGTTAAGAGCTAAAATACGTTCAACAGGGACTTTCAGTTTCATCTGTAAGTGTAGATTGTGTCACAACACTGTGTGTGTGTCTGTGTGTGTTTGCAATCAGATGTGTATGTGTACATATGTACGGCAAATGAAACAAAATATTTAAAAGTTATGTAATTACTTACCAAGCACATCTGAATTATATAAAGCAAACCAAAATATCTTTACAATCCCCAAGACACATCGCAGCTTTCGAGCACCCCTAATGTTTGGAAATTGAAAGTTTTAAAAATTGTACGCGTGATGTATGTGTGTATATGAGTATATGTGCAGTCATATAGTTTTTAAATTTATGACTGCGTTTCTTAATGATGATGTTTCCGGTCCCAATTAGCATTATTAAACAAGGTCTATAGTACCTGTATTCTGAGCACATTTCCACACAAGGTTCTCTGCAAACCGCCTACTTCCTTCTCTTTTGCCCTGTTTTCATACACAGATATTGCTGTGTGCAATACAGACAGAGGCAAGGATAGAAATACATCGTAAAAAAAGGGGAACAAGCAACAAAATGTTGCAGGATAAAATATCCGAAAACTCCGAAGACTAAACTTCTGGTCCCAGTGACCAACCCAGATTGGATCCTGCAGTATAAAACATTCCTGCAGATCAGTACTGTTCCAGAAAAATATCGCCTTCCACAAAAATTTTGTGCAATTCTCTTTTTCCCCTTGCTAGTTTAAGACTAGCTTTAATCGAACAAGATTTTAAAATGATTTTACTTTCAGTTAAATTCTCTTGCCTCCCCTTTTTAAAGATGGATAAATTAGTCCGGCAAAGTTTCAGTTCTTCTCCAAAACAGCTGTTGATCTACTTTGTCGCCTAACTAGGGTTGTTTTGCCCACATTTGGGTGTCACACTCAAATAATGAGTTCCTTGTTAAGACAGACTTCCTCAAAACTAATTCTGTCTGGCTCTGCTCAAACAGGAGTCCCTATACCATTCCAGACAAGTAGCTGGCCAGTCTGTTCTTAAAAACTTCCACAACTTCTGAAGGCAAACAGTTCCACTGGTTGATGGTTCTCACTGTTAGGAAATGTGACCTTGGTTCTAGGTTGCGTCTCTCCTTGTAAACCAAGCTCGGGGGGTGCGATTCAACCGGTGTAACAACCAATTCGGTGAGCACGCGCTTTTGGTCCCCGGAGCTACCGGTTCCCTCAAACCAGCCCAAACCGGTAGAATCTCACCCCTCACCAAGGTGTGTGTGGGATGACAACAAAGCCCCCCCAAAGCTCACATTCTCTTTAAAATACTCCAAACGACCACAAATATGGACAGTCCTGGCCAGAAATATTCGCATTTTTACTGCCTTATTTTTTTTTATGAAAGTGAAATGTTTCCTGAAGGCGATCAGAATCACTTTGATCTTAACAACAACTCCTTTGAGTGGGGGGGGGGGGATTCGTAAGCGATCTCTCACCTGAGAGGGTATTTGGCATAAATTGCCAGGGTTTTGAACCCTAAAATCCAAAATTCTGCTTTTCCTTTTGCTTCATTCTCAATATACAGGATGGATCACAACTGCTCCGTCACATGCCATGACAATTGCACAGTTGTATATTTTACTGAGGGAGACATATTAATGGCTTGTTTGGCCTAGTTGCAATGATAACGATAATTAAGCCCCTCTTTTGACCAAATCTGGCTGGTATTTCAGCATTTCCTCTGTCCTAAACTTGATCAAATCAAGTCTTCCTCCCAGCTAGCATGTTACAATATTCTGGTATTTCTCCCCTCCCCCACACACACTCCTTTACATATTAAAGACACAAAACAGTCTAGATTTGAGGAAGCCACGATGTAGCAAAGATTTCCAGTTCCAGTTCCTACATCCAGTACCCTGTTTCCAGTTTGGCCCAGTTTCTCCTTCCTCATATTAGCAACCTGATTAATAAAGATCCATGGTTATCAACAGCCAAATCCCACAACATTCATCGTCCTCTTTGACTTTCTCTGTAACCGTTTGCAATAAAAGCCTCCAGTACATTATATGATTGATTAGGGCCAGGGGTCTTCAAACTTGACAGCCTTTAAGACTTGTGGACTTCAACTTCCAGAATTCCTCCTCCAGTCATGTTAGCTCAGGAATTCTGGGAGTTGAAGTCCACAAGTCTTAAATTGGCCAAGTTTAAGGACTAGGCCAAATTTCCCCAGTCTGATCCTATTGGGGCACATTTCCCAGAATTCCCAGTTACCACACTGCTTAGGAATGCTGGGGGCTGTAGTCCATGATAGGCCGAAATCCCTCTTTTGGACACTGTGTGGTTTTGTCTATTTATTATCTATTTACAGGACTTATATGGCTGCTTATCTCATACAAAGACTCTAGGTGGCTTGCCACAATCTTTAAAACGTGGTTAGTGGCACCAAGATTAAGAAGCACCCGCAAGGCACCAGATCAAACATCGTCACAGTCCAACCTCTCTCCTACCCAGGAAAAACCAGGTCTTCACAGCTTTGGAATGGCTTGGGTCTTGAGTTAGAATCATGGACCCCAAAGTATCTAGAAGATGGCAGGTTGGAGCTACATCTCTCTCAATCTTGACATGGCTTGCTGGGGAATTCTGGGAGTTGAAGTCCACCCATCTTCGAGCTGCCAAGTGAGAAACTCCTGGTTTAAGGTCCCAGGGCAGGAGGCCTATTGAGAACTTCTCAGCTGGACAGCCACCTCCTACGCAGAAGATTTCCTTGTCTCTAAACAGAACCAACTTCAACAAAGCAAGTTTTTCTGACATGCCCACCCCTCACCTTTCTGGTCCCCTTGCCTTCACACCGCTGGCAGTTTCCGGCAGCACCCTGTTCCTCATCCCCTTCGTCCTCGCTCTGGCTTGTCTGGAGTCTGGCCTTCCTCCATCTCAGCTCCTCCGGACGGTTGCTTTGACAGCGAGTTCTCCTACGGCTTGCTTCCGTTCCTTCTCTCTCAGCCCTGCCTGGCTACGCCTCGATTTCTACACGGGAAACCACAGACTTCCTGTTCTGGCTTGTTGCTTGGCTTCAGGCAGCCATCGGATTGTCTCTTGTGCCCCCCCCCCCGCACACACACACACACGCACGCACATACAACCCCCAACCCCCACCCCGCCAGAGCTGGCCAGAGCAGCAAAGGAAACAGACAGGTGTGGGGATGGTTTTCGTTCTTCGACTTGCTCAAACCTTCAGTTTCTACAACCACTTCCCCTGTCGCAGACACTTGGGGGAAGGTGGTTAGCGAGAGTCTGCATCTTTCCCATGGCACATCTACAGCACGCTGAGTCCCCTTGGGGCTTTGTTTTTTTCTTTTCTTCAGGCTTCCCCTTTTAATACATATTTTTAACAGATAACAGATTAACAGAGTTGAAAGGGACCTTGTAGTATCATCTAGTCCAACCCAAGCAGGAGACCCTACACCATTTCTGACAAATGGCAGTCCAATCTCTTATTGAAAGTTTCAACTGATGAAACTCCCACAACTTCTGAAGGCAAAGTTGGTTGATTGTTCTCACTCTCAGTTTCCATCCATCCTTTTACGGATCTGATGGATTGTCAGCCGCCTTCTACCCACCTGTGGACTTTCTGTCCTTGACATGATAGCGGAGTCCCAATATCTCAGGGGCTGCCACTAAGAAGAAAGATTCAACCTATTCTCCAAAGCACCTCAGAGCAGGATGCAAAGCAATGGATGGAAACTAATCAAGCAACCTAGGATAAATTTCCTGAAAGTTAGAACAATTAATCAGTGGAACAATTTGCCTCTAGAAGTTGCGAATGCTCCAACGCTGGAAGTTTTAAAGAAGAGATTGGGCCACCATTTATCTGAAATGGTATATATAGGATTTCCTGCCTAAGCAGGGGGTTGGACTAGAAGATCTTCAATGTCCCTCCCAACTACGTTATTCTATTATTCCAGCTCCCAATTTTGGGGGCACCAGGGACTGGTTCCGTGGAGAGATTTTTCCAGGCCATAATATTGCGTGACTGATTTAACAAATATCTTGCTGAGCAATGGAAATTCTCTTCCCAATTAGGACTATCAAATAGATTAAATCCAGCAAGTTAAGACCTCGGCCAGTTCCCTAGTTCAGAAATAACACAGCAGGCAATACAAGCTTGATGTAGACCAAAACAACATAGATTATATTTAATTTGCTGTATATACCCCAAAAGAAAACACTCTGAATTTGACTATAACTGTCACTGCAAAGATGGGCCAGTAAACAGTTCATCAGTTACTTAGAATAACTTCATTGTCAGTTTAAATGCACACTAATTGGCATACAATAAAATGAAATTTCGTGGCATAAGATCAGCCTGATTAATTATCTAGAGTAGTATTTCTCAACTTTCTCAACTTTAAGATGGGTGGACTTCAAATCCCAGAATTCCCCAGCTGGCATCTTAAGTCTACCTCTATTTTAAAGTGGCCAGGGTTGAAAAAGTCTGATCCTGAGGTAAAATGCTTCAGCTAAAGATATAAGATCAGGAGAGAAAATACAGAAGTGTATCAGAAGAGAGAACAGTGAAGTAAAAGCAAAGGTCAAAGTGGAAATTTTCTTAGTCGACTCAACTTCTGTTGCTAAACTTTTTCCATGCTGGGCTGCTGAGATTAGCCTCCAGGGTGATATCTCTGCTATTTCTAGTTATTTCAGGAAGTAAAACCAAAATAGATGTTTACTCTGATGCTCTGCCATTGCTCTTTCACTGTGAAGTTGCTTCCTTGATATCAGTCATATAAATCAGTGCCGTAACTTGATTTAATTACTTATTAAACTTGTATGCCGCCCGGCTTGCTTAATGTAGCTCTTAGGAGTCTAGGTGGCTTACATTGATTAAAATGCTCTACAGGTAATCTGTAACTTGCAATCATTCGTTTAGCAACTGTTCAAAGTTACAACGGCACTGGAAAAAGGGGGCTTACAGCCATTTTCCCCACTTAACGACTGTTGCAGCCATCCCCATGACCACGTGATAAAAATTCAGATGCTTAGCAACCGACTCATATTTATGATGGTTGCAATGTCCCAGAGTGATGGGCAGAGGTGGGATTTAGCCGGTTCGGACTGGTTCGGGTGAACCAGATGTTAAGTTTACATCTGGTTCACGGAACCAGTGGTTGAACCAACCGGCTGGCTCCTCCCCTCCTGCCCCGCCCCTCTCCTCCCAGGGACTCCATGCGGTCCGTTTTGGATGCAGGTAAGTGTAGGGTCTGCGTGGAGGCTCGGAAGGGCAAAAAATGGGCTGAACCGGAAGTTCTGGAAGTCTGGAAATGGGCCTGTTTCTGGCTTTTGGAGAACCTCCAGAGCCCAGAGAAGGCCGTTTTCGCCCTCCTAGAGGCCTCCGGATCCTTGGGAAGGTGAAAAACGCCCCGCCCAGAAGTTCTGGTAGGCCACACCCACTATGGCCACACCCACCTGGGCAGCGAACCGGTTGCTGGGATTTTTGAATCCCACCCCTGGTCACCTTTTGTGACCTTCTGAGGGGCACATAACATGGCTTTCATCGCTTGCTAACATAGTTATTTTGCATTTTAATTTGATTTATTTTCACTCTTTTAAAAGGACGTTCAGGTTTATTGGCTTTTAACATTCCTAAACTGATAAACAGGCTGGAGACTAACTCCAGAGAAGAAAATTGTTTGTTAGTACAAATTGGGATCTGGTTTATTTCTTTTGTGAACTCCAAACAACCTTTTTCCTTACAATTTCCCCCCTTCTGATGTCAGACTTCATTTTAATGAACACGTGTGGTATTATGGGATGCAAATATATGACATGTTTGACTACATGTAACTGATTTTCTATGCAAAGGGGAGGTTACTTTTACCCTGTCCAATCAACTTTCCTCTTGCATTTTTTTTGTTGTGTTAACTCTAACAAAGGAAAGTAATACGGGGCGGGAGGTTCTCTCTTTCCTTTTTCATAGAGAGATTCCACTTTATCAGCGTTCCCTAATAAACTGCTTTTAAATGATCTTCTGACTCAGTTGCTTATATACCATTTCAGATGTGACTGTCCGGTCCAGAGGTGGTATTCAACCAGTTCTGACCAGATCTAGAGAACTGGTAGCGGAAATTTTGAGTAGTTTGGAAAACCGGCAAATACCGCCTCTGACTGGCCCCGCCCCCATCTGTTTTCTGCCTCCCAAGTCCCAGCTGATTGGCTGGGTCTTCTTTGGTTGCCCTGCACAGGAGAACGGAGCTGGAAAGCAGGTTAGTGGAGTGGGAAGAGAATAGGATTTTGCAGTAATCTTCCCCTGCCATGACCACCTAGCCCCGGTCACCAAGCCACGGCTACAGAATAGGTAGTAAAAAAAATTTGAATCCCACCACTGGCCCAGTCTTTTCTTAAAAACCTTCAGTGATGAAACACCTACAGTTTCTGAAGGCAAAGCTGTTCCACTGATTAATAGATTTCACTGTCAGGAAAATTCTCCTTAGTTTTGAGGTTGCTTCTCTCCTTGATTCGTTTCCATCCATTGCTTCTTGTCCTGCCCTCTGGTGCTTTGGAAAATAGATTGACCCCCTCCTTCTCTTTGTGGCAGCCTCCCAAATACTGGAAGACTGCTATCATGTCTTCCCACCATACTTATTTTCTCTAGACTAGCCAGTCCCAAATCCTGTAACCCTTCTTCATATATTTTTGACTCCAGGCTTTTAATCACCTTAGTTGCTCTTCTTTGCACTTTTCCCCAAAGCTCAACATCTTTTTTATAATGTGGTAACTAAAAGTGGATGCAAGTCATCAGGACTCCTGGTATGCTAAGGTTGTAAGTTGAGGACTACCTGCAGTCTCCCACAGGATTTGATTATTCTAAATTACTTCACTCTGATTCTCACCCCACTGGTGTGTTCAGCTACAAGTCCCAGAATTTCCATACCACTTGGATGCAGGTAAGTGCAGGGTCTGCGTGGAGGCTCAGAAGGGCAAAAAATGGGCTGAACCGGAAGTTCTGGAAGTCTGGAAATGGCCGAAAAAAACAGGCCTGTTTTGCCCCATTCTGGTATTTCCGGAAATAAGTGACGAAACGGGCCCCTTTTTTTTCAGCCTCCGAAGGTGGCAGAGGCTTCCTGTGAGGCCAGAAAATGGCCCAAAAATCAGCCAGGAGGCGCACGCATGCACAGCAAAGGTAAGGGACACTTGGGAATTCTGGGATCTGGAGTCCATTGTAGCTAGACTAAACAAACTGTTGTAAGTCAAAGACTATCTGTAGTAACCTTCCCTTCTCTTCCCCCTCCCCCTCCTCCTCCTCCTCTTCCTCTTCCTGCTTTTCCTGCAATAACATCTGCAAATGCATGCAGGAAAAGGTCCGGAGACCCCAGAAAGCTTTCAGGACTGAAGTGGAGGCCACAACCTGGATTTCCTCACTCCTGGCTCTGGGGCTGAAGATGGGCGGATATACAGTATCAGCCAGGGACTGTCACTTGTTGAGAAGATGGAAAAGAGGAAGAAGAGGAGGAGGAAAAGGAAGAAAACAAACAGATAAGGCTGATGAAACTCACGGCAATATGACCAACAACAGGTAAAGCTGCCCGCCCGTCCATTAACTTAGATGCCAACCATTGAAACTACTGAAAGGACTTTCTGCTTTTGAACAGCTGTTGGGCCAATGAAGCAAAGCAACCCAGACCAATGGTCTCTGAAGATCCCCTTCTCTGCGGTCTCTGAAGATCCCCCTCTCTGCGTTCCCCAACGGGGGATTCTCATGTTGATTTTCCATCTCCTCATCTCAAGAAAGGCAATAGGGCGTCCCACAGATGAGGCTGGCCAGCCGCCACAGATGTGTGTATCATAGCACCCAAACCAGCTGCTGTGTTGTTCTGCCTGCCATCTGTGCGTGGGGGTGTGGAAACGACTGGAGAAAGGCTTCACACATATGTGCCCCACGAAACACCCCACAGGGGTGTGAAAGAAACAATGCCCTGGAGCAGAGAGCCCAAAAGCTTGCCGCTTGAACGGGATGAGTGTGTGGGCGGCAAATCTGAATGTTGGCTTCTG